CTCTCCAGGTTATCCACATCCCTCTTGAAGCGCGGCGCCCAGAACTGCACGTAGTACTCCAACTGCGGTCTGACCAGCGCCCGATAGAGGGGAAGTATCACCTCCTTGGACCTATTCGTCATGCATCTGCTGATGCACGATAAAGTGCCATTGGCTTTTCTGATGGCTTCATCACTCTGCCGACTCATGTTCATCTTGGAGTCCACTAGGACTCCAAGATCCCTTTCCACTTCCGTGCCACCCAGCAGGTCATTCCCTAGGCTGTAGGTGTGCTGGACATTTTTCCTCCCTAGGTGCAGCACTTTGCATTTCTCCTTGTTGAATTGCATTCTGTTGTTTTCTGCCCACTTGTCTAACCTGTCCAGGTCTGCTTGCAGCTGTTCCCTGCCCTCCGGCGTGTCCACTTCTCCCCATAGCTTTGTGTCATCTGCAGACTTGGACAGAGTACATTTTACTCCCTCATCCAAGTCGCTGATGATATAAAATTGTCTTTGATGTGCTGATGTGTATCATTTTTAATGTACGCATACAGTATTTCAAGATAAGGATGACATATGCAAGCAGTTTTTGTTCCTAACCTTGTTCAGTAAAATAACAATAATAATTCTATTATTATTATTAGTTCTATTATTTCAAGAGTTTAAAAAATGTCTCTGTTTTTGCAATAAAATACTGAGTACTATTACAAAAGCAGTTATCTAAAAATATCCAAACATGTGTAATCCCATTGATTTATACATATTCCAGATGCCATAAGAGCTTTCACTAAGGAGAAATCTCCTTTCACAGCAGCCAGATGTAGGCAACTTTCCCCTTTCTCATTTCTTTTGTTTAGCCAAGGTGCTGCTGTATGGGAATTTCAACCAGGTACAGATACTGCCTCCTCTTTGTTAGATACTGAGGATTCTAAAGACATATTGGGACATATTGGATAGGGCTGCGCGAAGCTTTGGTCCGTGATTAGATTCGGAGAAGATTCAGCCTGGTTTGGAGGCCGAATCTCTGAATTTGAATTGAATTGGGAGAAGCAAAAAAGCTTCCAAATCAACTCAGAGCCTCTGAATTGATTCATAAAAGATTTGGAGATTTGGAGGTGGTCTTTCAGGGGAACAGAAACTGGGAAGAGGGAGGGGGAGCAGGGGGGAGGGAAGAACTGACATCTCTAGCTGGTCTGTGACTGTGATCTCTCCCTAAGTCCCCTTCCAATCACAGTGCTCTGGGGGAGGGACAGAAACAGCATATAAGTCTCTGTCTGCAGGCTTTCTGTGCCTTTTGTGAGCTGTTTCTGTCTGAGGAACAGCATCTGAAAGGTACTGGACTGGCTTGGCTTCCTAGTCAGTCTCCTGCTACTTCTTGCTTTTGGGAAGGACTGGATATAGCTTAGCTTACTAACCAGAATCCCTCTACTTATCCCTATCCAATCCATTTCTTTCCATTTATATTTCTTCTTGGGGGTTTTTTCCCAAAACATTTAAAAAAGAAAGCTGTGTTGTCCCTGGCAGTGTGATCCATCACTGTGCAGGGAAGCACACATTACACACACTTACACACATACATCATAGAAGAAGTGAGATATTATTACAACACAGGAGAAGTCAGACATTCACAGAAGAAGAAGAGATTATATATAGTTATAAATATTATTATAGTTACATACAGACTAAAAACTACACAGAAGTTGTCAAATTAACACAGATGCTACTTCCACTGGATCATCAAGTGGGGCAAGATGCTGTGGAGAAAACAGGCAGAGCTGAGCATCCCACAACACAAAATCATGCAGGATGTGGAGACTCAGTGGAACTCCACATACCTGATACTGGAAAGGCTGGTGGAGCAACAGACGGCCATACTTGAGATGGCCCTGCTCAGGGAGATTGGGATCAGTGGGCCCTAACAGAGCTGAGTGGGATACCATTTCCCAGATCTTGGTGGTCCTCAAGCTCTTCCTCAGGGCCACTGAGACCCTCAGTGCTGGCAATGCCTTCCTTAGCCAGATGATCCCCGTAGTGAGGGAACTTGAGAACCAAATGGAGAAGTTCCAGGGGATCAATGTTCCTGGCTGGGGCAAGCCGCTGTCACCAGACGTGCAGGGACCGGTGAGGCAGCTGAAGGAGCATCAGGAAACGGCTTGATCCCTTGCAATCCAGTACAGTCCACGTGCTGGCCGCCATGCATGACCCAAGGGTGAAGGGGAGCACATGCGGCAGCCAAAGCCTGGATCAGTGCATAGAGGTGGTGGTGAAGAGAGTCAGGGAGACAGAATGGCAGAGACGAGGGGATGTGGAAGAGGGGGATCCACTTTCCTGTGCCAGCACTCCCAGCACCAACACCAGCACAAGCCAGTCTTCTCCACGCCAGTCGCTGCAAATGTAGGCCAAGGGTATGGCTTCAATGCTGGGATCCAGACGTACCAGACCCCAGCCTTGGGCAGGTAGTGCCAAGGCTTCAGTGGCTACCCCTCTCACTGCGGACTTGGGGCCCCCGGGCTACCCCTTGGCCTACTGGGCAAGCCGCAGCCAGATGTGGCAGGATCTGGCCACGGTTGCCTGCAAACACCCGTCCTGTCCCCCAACCAGTGTTCTGAGCAAGAGGGTGTTCAGCATTGCTGGGGATGTTGTGGCACCCCACCGCAGCTGCCTGGAACCTCATTCATTGGAGCAGCTGGTGTTCTTGAAGGTGAACCTCCCACTGCTGGGGTTACTCAAGCTCCACCTGCAGACAGAGTAAGTGCCACTCTCCTTACTCAGTCTGCACCACTTTTCAGAGCTGGGCCTATGAACTTCACTTCATCAGCCTCCTACGTAGTAGGTACAGAAACTCATGGATTCAATACAGACAGTGGAATTCTGACACACTACAACCTGCCGGACATCTGACTCCATAGGTACCTCTGCACTTTTACCTGCGCTGCTACATCCCTCTTCCCCCACACCACCACAGCCTGTCCCTCACCTGCTGATACCTCCATTTCCATTTTCACTGACTGACTTTATTTCCTACATTGCATGTCAGCCTCTGTTTTTTTTTTTTTACTATTCTTTCCATCCAGAAACAGCACACCTACCAACTGCAGGTGCTTCCTCAGCCTGACAAAGGGATTTTCAACCTGAAAACTGGCATTCCAGGCAGCTAAGCTGAGCTCACCGTTCGTTTGTTTGTTTTTAATATAAACATAAAAACACAACATAACCCATCACACAGCACAAGTAACACATCATTTATATATCCAACACAACATCTCTATTTCTTCCAGTCAATTCTTTTATAAAAATTCTCATTTCAGTAACCATAAGCCACTTAGCCCCATCGGACAATCAAGGAAAACCCCTCTCCATAAAATCAAAACACAACCACTCACTGTCCTGGCTTTCTCTAACTATTCAGTTGGTTTACTAAAAGATACCAGATTGACCCAAAGAACCTTATCTGCCAGTGCCACGTCCTTAGACCAAGACTCCTAGGACCTGTCCCTGGTCAGCTGACTGGAAGGACGCAGGACCCTGGGCAGTGGGCACATCCAAGCCCCAGGGCTGGGGCTGGCAGGGAGAGTTCTCTGGTAGCTGCTGGAGAAGAAGTTCCTGCAGGAGAGGAAGAAATGGCTCTAGTCTGCAACAGTTTGGTGCTGGTGCTACTGTGCTGCAGTGCACTGCAGTGTTTACCTGTTGTTATTTAAAGTGGTGGACTGGGCTGAGGTTGTAGTAGAGGAGGAGGTCTCACTGGGACACGCTACCATGTCGTGCAGAGGCCCCAGCACCAGTGATGGTGCACCTTAACACACACACACACCCCCACACACACACACACACACACGGAGTCACACACAGTCACACAGTGAGGGCGTGCCTTAACACACACACTGGAGAAGAAGCTCCTGCAGGAAAGGAAAGAAGGGCTCTGTCACAGTTTGGCTGCCTGAGATGCTGCTGGTGCTACTGTGCTACTGCTCACTAAGTTATTTTATACCTGATGTCATGTAAAGTGGAGGACCGGAATGAGACCATAGGGGAGGAGGAGGACTCATTGGGGCATACTACCATGTTGTGTAGATGCCCCAGTGCCAGTGAGAGCCCACCTTAACACGCACACAGTGCCACCCTCCCACGTCATGAGTTTTGCTTGTCAGCAGCCTAAGGTTCAGTTTCCCAGAACCCCCTGCACCTATCTCCTTGAAAGCTGGCAGGCTTCATGGCTGAAGCAGAGCCTAGCATGCCTGCAGTTTTCACCCCCTGTGCCTTAACACACACACAGTGTTACCCATGTCACAAGTTTTGCTTGTCAGCAGCTTGAGGTGGTTTCCCAGAAACCTCTCACCTATCTCCTTGAAAATTGGCAGGCTTCATGCCCTCAGAAAGGGCTACCATCCCTGCATTCTTTATCTGAATCAGCCAAAAAAATGACAAAGTTATAGGTATTTCAGTGTTTCCCCATTATACTCTATGGCCGAATCTCCAAATCTCTCTGAATGGGCGCCGAATCTTCCAGAGCCAATTCAGCTAAATCAATTTGGAACAAAGATCTGAATCTCTGGATCGAATCACTGTCCTCTGAATCAACCAAATCCAAATCCAAATCCAAATCGAATACTTCCCTATTTGCACAGGCCTAATATTGGACACTGATTAGGAAGCATGGAAAACATCCCATTAGAAATACTGAACTAAATTTCCAATCTCATTTACTATCCTAAATTTCCTGTTACATTTACCAGTGTAATTCTGTGCAACTCTTAATTATGTAGGCAAGGTTTTTTGAGTAGATGTGATATCTTTTATTAGATCAACTGAGTAGTTGGAAAAAAGTTCTTAGCAAGCTTTTGGGTGCAATCACCCTTCTTCAGGCATAGGAAGTCTCTGCTGTTCTGAGACTTCAAGGAATGAGAGAAGCTAAAAGTGTGACAGGATTTCAGTGAGAATGTAAATAGGTAGAAATTAGTAAAACAAAAGGTAGAGCAGGGAAGAGGAGGAGTGGAAATCCAATGTCTATACTGAGTCCATGGATTGAATCCACATTACAATCTGCCTGACAAATGACTTACCAGGTACCTGCCAGACTTGACCTCTTACACTTTTCTTCCCCACCTTTCTCCCCTCCCCTACTTTTCTGCCCTTTGTCTTCCTAATTTCCAGCTATTTTCCTTTTTACAGACAGCCTCTTTTCTACTTTGAATTACTGTAGAGCCTCCCTTACTCATCTTTGACTCCTCTCCTGTTTCACACAACCCCTCCCTGGGCTAGCAAGCCCCTCCGTCTCTCTCCTGGCCCTTCTCTGGGCTGCCAGCTCCTTTGGTCTCTCATACTGGACACTTTTGGTCCTGCACTTTCTCTAGCTGTTCTCCGGGCCCTTGGACCCATCCAGTCCCACACTATTCCCAGCCCCTTACTGGGTTACACTCTATTCCTGGCCCATCACTGGGCTGATGAACCCTTCTGGTCCCACTTTACTATTCCCAGCCCCCTCACTAGGTCACTGAACACTTCTGTCCCACTACACTATTCCCTGGCCCTTCTCGGGGCCTCTAGACCCACATGGTCCTGCTCTTCCTTGGCTCCTCTCTGGACCTCTGGACTTGCATGGCCCTGGTCTTCCCTGGGCCCTCTCTGGGTCTCAACCCCCCATGGTCCTGGTGTGTTCCCCTAGCCTTCTCCCTCCATGGGGTAACCCACAAGGCTGGGAGCTGAGGCCTTCTGATGCTCTATACCTTCCTTTCCCTGTGGTGGCCCATGCATAGCATTTCATAGAGACTGCCCTGTCACAGGCAGCCCCACCGTATTAGCCAGACCCAGTATGGTACAGTTCCAGGACTGGTCTTCAGGCCTTCCTAATCTTACTCATCCCTCTCTGGG